CCCCCCCTCCTCCGCTGCTCACAAATGTCCAACCAATGCTGAAGTTCGCATCGCTTTATTTGCGAAGTCCAATATGAAGGGATTGATATGAAGCAGCTGCGGTGTTTCCTAAATATATGGGTACCTTATGCAGCCGTAAGGACCGTAGCGGTTATTGGCACGTTGCCAACGCGAAAATTCGTCCAAAAGTGCTCTGTGTTTTTGTAGAACAAAGGCTTATTTTTATGTTTTCGACTGTTCCACTTCGCTTTTTCGCCATTTCCCCACTATATAGCACCCCTGCTACCATTCTAGACCAGGTACCAAATTATCGTGCCTTATGCCTTGAGGCGAAAATTCGGGCTATATAGAACTCACCATTGTATGGGAGCTAGCAAGAACACGGCGATGCCATGAATGCAAGCTGGTGGCTTCGCTTGCTACACTCAATGTATCACAGTCCGATGTCACACCGTATGTCAGTCCCAAATCCCTAGCACCGAATTCTTCTCGCATCCGACGACGAAGCGCTGTAAGGCGATCACGACGAGAAGCAGCTAAGGAGCTTTCCTGAACCGGAAGTTAGTTGTACATGTGCTACTGATGGTTAACCAGAGTTAAAAAAACTTACCACTGCAGCATTCATGTAGGCCGTAGACGGCTGTACAAAAGACATTTGCGATGAGGAACACGGGGTAGCAATTCTGGATCTATATGAATCCACTGACTGGTTGACTGTTTCTCTCAAGCACTGCTTCTGGAGGGGCAGGACGCTGAAAACTACTTTCCCACGATCATGTATACTACAAATCAAGTTGTAAAATGGTACCACGAATGGGGAGGCCCTGGCATCGGCTGCGCATGGTTTCTCAAAATCAACAGCGTCTTCGAATTCTTCAAGGTCTTCACTCATTTGATAAAGCCGTTGAGTAAGGTGAACCGAACCTCAAACGGTCACTGGTCTAAAAAATTATTTTGTTTAGAGGCAGTGCGCACGACCTTTGGGGGTGGGTGGTAGCTTCCACCATCATTGGTGGAAGAGCTGCAAGAAGGCATTTGGCCACGCCCCACTGAGCACTTCCACCAGCGACGCCGGCGACAACCGCCCGCCCCCAGCACTTGTGCTCACTGCCTTTGAGGCATAGTGCGCAACCAAATAAAAGCACCAAATTAAGTGAATAGAAGCATAACGCATAGAAATCAATACTCGAAAGTTGAAGGGAACAAACCAACACATATCGATCAAGTAGACCAGAAAGACAAACTGTTTATGCACGGCAAACATATAGCCTCTCATAACAAGACACTATGTTAAAGAAACATCGAGAAACCTAGAAAGATTTTCTCATTTAAAATTTACAAGCTGATATTTATACAAGTTATTAATACAAACTGTTTATAGACCTATGTTTATTAATCTAAACTACAACTACTAAAAAGTCCATGAAAAAATCTATTAAATCATCACACACTGAAGGACCTTGTATAATACATGGTCAATTTTTACAGAAGCAGTTATTACCACAAGTACACTTCTCAAACCTGTCAGAGATGTGAGATAGATGATTTGGTAGTAAAAAGCATGGCAGATTGAGCTAGATACAATTGATAACTAACCACTACAACTAAAAAACTACATGTCGAAATTCGAAATGACAGCATCAGCAAAGTCGGTGGTGGACGCATAACTGAAAAAAAACTCATAAATAAATGACCTTCATCATTCGGCAGCTGCACTTATATGAAGTTACTTTATAAAGTTATTGCAACTTTCGAACATACCAAAGTCAGTTATTGCAACTGTCGAACCTAACCAAAATCACCGTTCGGCAGTACTGAATGGGCGGATCCAGGAAACGACGCCATTGGTGCCTCTTACTCTTCCTGCCTCCCGCACCGCAGCAGAACGTGGGAAGAGTAGCGGCGAGCCATAACGCCCCTTCCTGGCTCCGCCCACCCAACAATCCCGAATCAAAAATTGTTATTGTGCCGACCCGACACTCCATTTTGATGGATTAAAAATGGATCAAGAAAGAATAGAAAACTAAGCACACGCTTCTTGTAGGGGAGAATTATCTATCGACAGCATGGAACACGTTTGGAAAAACTTTGCACTCTCCACATATTATATACCAGTCGGATCGGCCGGCTTCGCCGGCCGATCCTCCTTCCGGGTGTGAAGTGGGTCCCGGCGAGAAGTTTTCCATGAGAGGGAGGGCCAGTCGGATCGGCCGGCTTCGCCGGCCGATCCTCCTTCCGGGTGTGAAGTGGGTCCCGGCGAGAAGTTTTCCATGAGAGGGAGGGCCAGTCGGATCGGCCGGCTTCGCCGGCCGATCCTCCTTCCGGGTGTGAAGCGGGTCCCGGCGAGAAGTTTTCCATGAGAGGGAGGGCCAGTCGATCGGCCGCTTCGCCGCCGATCCTATCCCTTCGCGGGTTTGGAACGGTGGTGCCCGGCGAGAAGTTTTCCATGAGAGGGAGGGCCAGTCGGATCGGCCGGCTTCGCCGGCCGATCCTCCTTCCGGGTGTGAAGTGGGTCCCGGCGAGAAGTTTTCCATGAGAGGGAGGGCCAGTCGGATCGGGGCCGGCGAAGCGCCGATCTCCTTCGGTGTGAGTGGGTCCGCGCGAAGGAAGGCTTTTCATGAGAGGGAGGGCAGTTCGTGATTCGAAACGCGAAGGCACGGCCGATCCTCCTTCCGGGTGTGAAGTGGGTCCCGGCGAGAAGTTTTCCATGAGAGGGAGGGCCAGTCGGATCGGCCGGCTTCGCCGGCCGATCCTCCTTCCGGGTGTGAAGTGGGTCCCGGCGAGAAGTTTTCCATGAGAGGGAGGGCCAGTCGGATCGGCCGGCTTCGCCGCCGATCCTCCTTCCGGGTGTGAAGTGGGTCCCGGCGAGAAGTTTTCCATGAGAGGGAGGGCCAGTCGGATCGGACCGGCTTCGCCGGCCGATCCTCCTTCCGGGTGTGAAGTGGGTCCCGGCGAGAAGTTTCCATGAGAGGCGAGGGCAGTCGAAGTGCGCCGGGCTTTCGCCGGCCGAATCCTGCCTTCCGGGTGTGAAGTGGGTCCCGGCGAGAAGTTTTCCATGAGAGGGAGGGCCAGTCGGATCGGCCGGCCGGCCGATCCTCCTTCCGGGTGTGAAGTGGGTCCCGGCGAGAAGTTTTCCATGAGAGGGAGGGCCAGTCGGATCGGCCGGCTTCGCCGGCCGATCCTCCTTCCGGGTGTGAAGTGGGTCCCGGCGAGAAGTTTTCCATGAGAGGGAGGGCCAGTCGGATCGGCCGGCTTCGCCGGCCGATCCTCCTTCCGGGTGTGAAGTGGGTCCCGGCGAGAAGTTTTCCATGAGAGGGAGGGCCAGTCGGATCGGCCGGCTTCGCCGGCCGATCCTCCTTCCGGGTGTGAGTGGGTCCGCCGGGCGAAGAAGTTCTCCCAATGAGCAGGGGGGCAGTCGATCGGTCCGGCTGCGCGGCCGATCCTCCTTCCGGGTGTGAAGTGGGTCCCGGCGAGAAGTTTTCCATGAGAGGGAGGGCCAGTCGGATCGGCCGGCTTCGCCGGCCGATCCTCCTTCCGGGTGTGAAGTGGGTCCCGGCGAGAAGTTTTCCATGAGAGGGAGGGCCAGTCGGATATCGGCCGGCTTTCGCCGCCGATCTCCTTAAAGCGGGTGTGAAGTGGGTCCCGGCGAGAAGTTTTCCATGAGAGGGAGGGCCAGTCGGATCGGCCGGCTTCGCCGGCCGATCCTCCTTCCGGGTGTGAAGTGGGTCCCGGCGAGAAGTTTTCCATGAGAGGGAGGGCCAGTCGGATCGGCCGGCTTCGCCGGCCGATCCTCCTTCCGGGTGTGAAGTGGTGCGCCGGCGACGAACAGAAGTTTTCCATGAGAGGGAGGGCCAGTCGGATCGGCCGGCTTCGCCGGCCGATCCTCCTTCCGGGTGTGAAGTGGGTCCCGGCGAGAAGTTTTCCATGAGAGGGAGGGCCAGTCGGATCGGCCGGCTTCGCCGGCCGATCCTCCTTCCGGGTGTGAAGTGGGTCCCGGCGAGAAGTTTTCCATGAGAGGGAGGGCCAGTCGGATCGGCCGGCTTCGCCGGCCGATCCTCCTTCCGGGTGTGAAGTGGGTCCCGGCGAGAAGTTTTCCATGAGAGGGAGGGCCAGTCGGATCGGCCGGCTTCGCCGGCCGATCCTCCTTCCGGGTGTGAAGTGGGTCCCGGCGAGAAGTTTTCCATGAGAGGGAGGGCCAGTCGGATCGGCCGGCTTCGCCGGCCGATCCTCCTTCCGGGTGTGAAGTGGGTCCCGGCGAGAAGTTTTCCATGAGAGGGAGGGCCAGTCGGATCGGCCGGCTTCGCCGGCCGATCCTCCTTCCGGGTGTGAAGTGGGTCCCGGCGAGAAGTTTTCCATGAGAGGGAGGGCCAGTCGGATCGGCCGGCTTCGCCGGCCGATCCTCCTTCCGGGTGTGAAGTGGGTCCCGGCGAGAAGTTTTCCATGAGAGGGAGGGCCAGTCGGATCGGCCGGCTTCGCCGGCCGATCCTCCTTCCGGGTGTGAAGTGGGTCCCGGCGAGAAGTTTTCCATGAGAGGGAGGGCCAGTCGGATCGGCCGGCTTCGCCGGCCGATCCTCCTTCCGGGTGTGAAGTGGGTCCCGGCGAGAAGTTTTCCATGAGAGGGAGGGCCAGTCGGATCGGCCGGCTTCGCCGGCCGATCCTCCTTCCGGGTGTGAAGTGGGTCCCGGCGAGAAGTTTTCCATGAGAGGGAGGGCCAGTCGGATCGGCCGGCTTCGCCGGCCGATCCTCCTTCCGGGTGTGAAGTGGGTCCCGGCGAGAAGTTTTCCATGAGAGGGAGGGCCAGTCGGATCGGCCGGCTTCGCCGGCCGATCCTCCTTCCGGGTGTGAAGTGGGTCCCGGCGAGAAGTTTTCCATGAGAGGGAGGGCCAGTCGGATCGGCCGGCTTCGCCGGCCGATCCTCCTTCCGGGTGTGAAGTGGGTCCCGGCGAGAAGTTTTCCATGAGAGGGAGGGCCAGTCGGATCGGCCGGCTTCGCCGGCCGATCCTCCTTCCGGGTGTGAAGTGGGTCCCGGCGAGAAGTTTTCCATGAGAGGGGCCAGTCGGATCGGGCTTCGCCGGCCGATCCTCCTTCCGGGTGTGAAGTGGGTCCCGGCGAGAAGTTTTCCATGAGAGGGAGGGCCAGTCGGATCGGCCGCTTCGCCGGCCGATCCTCCTTCCGGGTGTGAAGTGGGTCCCGGCGAGAAGTTTTCCATGAGAGGGAGGGCCAGTCGGATCGGCCGGCTTCGCCGGCCGATCCTCCTTCCGGGTGTGAAGTGGGTCCCGGCGAGAAGTTTTCCATGAGAGGGAGGGCCAGTCGGATCGGCCGGCTTCGCCGGCCGATCCTCCTTCCGGGTGTGAAGTGGGTCCCGGCGAGAAGTTTTCCATGAGAGGGAGGGCCAGTCGGATCGGCCGGCTTCGCCGGCCGATCCTCCTTCCGGGTGTGAAGTGGGTCCCGGCGAGAAGTTTTCCATGAGAGGGAGGGCCAGTCGGATCGGCCGGCTTCGCCGGCCGATCCTCCTTCCGGGTGTGAAGTGGGTCCCGGCGAGAAGTTTTCCATGAGAGGGAGGGCCAGTCGGATCGGCCGGCTTCGCCGGCCGATCCTCCTTCCGGGTGTGAAGTGGGTCCCGGCGAGAAGTTTTCCATGAGAGGGAGGGCCAGTCGGATCGGCCGGCTTCGCCGGCCGATCCTCCTTCCGGGTGTGAAGTGGGTCCCGGGCGAGAAGTTTTCCATGAGAGGGAGGGCCAGTCGGATCGGCCGGCTTCGCCGGCCGATCCTCCTTCCGGGTGTGAAGTGGGTCCCGGCGAGAAGTTTTCCATGAGAGGGAGGGCCAGTCGG